ATGTAATATATAATCTTTTTTATATAAATGTATCAAAAATATAAATTTGTCGTTGGCCTCGCGTCAACAATTATGCGTTAATCCACAGGTACGTAAACTGATGATAAATGAACGTTGTTTAGATTCGAAATCACTGCTTCAGATGGTAATGGCTCTGCTATGCTATATGATGATTGCACCTTTTTTATGTTACTATAAGTGTCCATATTTATATATGTGGCACTAAACTGAAAGTGTCATCTTCTTGACGTAGGACCTATATATTTATGTTACAGGGTGGTACAAAGAATAATTGTAAATCTCCTCGTAAAAGTAGTAGAAGTGTTAACTTTTTAAGGAAATAAATTTCTTACCATACCTAGGTACATCGTTACACAAAAATACTATTAATTAATTTAAACTAAAAAGGGACCAAGGCCTCTCAAACTATCAGTAGGATTAACAAAAGTAATGATTTAAAATGAAACTCGAAACCTTTATTTATCTAAATTTGGGATAATAAAACTAAAAATGAAGCAAAAGTTAATTAACAAATTTCAATTTTCACCACCACATATTAAAACCTAGGCTTTCCTGCTCTATAAAAGATCAATTTTCGTGGGAATCCTTATTAGAGTAGGATTCAAAAAATAGACTGAAACGGTCAAAATTTGGTACAGTTCATTATGAACCATTGAAAATTATATGTTTTTGTCGCATGAACTTTAGTTTTCATTACATGAGACATGAGGGTTCACAAATTGCCACAGCCGGTTCAACATCTTCGTACCAATTTGGAATGCCGAAATACTACTACTTAGCCACTTTCGCCAAGAAATTTTAAAAATTACAATTTTTTTCCATTTAACTACTGTTCAGAATGGGACGTTAAATGGGGAGTGGTCGAAAAAGTGGACCGATCCGAACCATTTTCAATAGCGCTCGTCCTTGTGTCGAAACACGTCATTATAGCAGATTTCATCAAAATATCTCAAGAATTGCAATCTGTAGCTTGAACGACAACGATAAAAGACGGGCAGACGGGCTTAGACCAATTGAGAAAATGATTCTGAATCGATCGGTATAAGAAAATGTGTCTATTGTAAGCCATTTTTGGTGTTTCATATCCTGTATCACAAGCTGTGTAGGTCCAAATATATTAAAAATATCTTACTTATTTACCTGCGAGAAGATATTTGATATAAACCACAATTTAAGAATCAAAAGTTTACTGTTCAACGGCAGAAACTCGAACGATGATAATATAATTGCACATATAATTATTTTCTATTGAATTACAAACTTACCTCCGATAATCTCAGGTAATAGAATCACAGGTGAACAGGAATGGAGAAGGAAGTATTTGATAAAGAGAGGAAGTGTAGATACTTAAAAATATATTGTAAAAAAAAAAAAAAAAAATTTTTTTGCCATTAATTTTTGGACGGAGTAAATAAAACTATATTTGCACATATAATTATTTGTCGGATCATATGTTGCAGTACGTGCATATGACATAAACATAATTCAAACTCACCGCACACCAAATATACACAAACATATATGAAAACATGTCATTTGAAAGCTGATCGACAAAGGAGATGAAGTAATTGCATGTAGCATAAGTCTTAGTTGCACTGAACACTGAACTGAACACAAGAAAATTAAATCGCACATAATTTGTACGAGTTTGGCTAAAATGTATTCCGTCATTTAGAGAAGTTCTCTGCTAGAGCAGCACGCATTATATATCTATTGTATAATTATGTACGTGCATAATTTGCCTTTCCTATGTCAATGTTGGCATCGTTGCTTATCTTTTTATAGTCATGAGTTTATAGGAACTTTAGTATTTTGTTGGAATCCAAAACGAAATCCAAAGAAATGCGAATTTATGGACACTATATACTATGTGCATTTGCACATTCATTTGCTTGCTCGTCTATTTGTCTTATTGTCTAAAAGACTAAAATTTCCTCTTTGCTAAATTCGGAATATTAAGTTTAAAAGTATTCGCTCGTTACTCTTGTCCAGTTCGGCTCAATTGTTTTTGTACATACTCATTATTAATTTCCGAACATCAAATTCAAAAATAACAAAATCGGTCAACAGCACAACAATAATTGCATATATAATCTTTATTTATTCTCGAGAATCGGGATTAAAATTAAATGGATTTTCACCTCGTAACAGGTCAATAGTCGACCGGAACTTAATAACATCAGAATTAAAGACGATCTACTGATACGCTTTCGATCGAAAAAGAAGATCTAAAAAAAACGACGCAATCTTGATCCATTTACCTTAGATATTGCTTATCTAGGGTGCGAGATTCTAGGCGAGTAGTAGCTTTTTTTACGTTTGCTTAAAGTAACACGTACAAGTGCGTTGACAAACTTTATCTCTTTGGCTCACTGTATATATATATATATATATGTGTGTGTGTGTGTGTGTGTGTTATGTATGCTGTGCAACATTGGTTTTTTTAATTGACCGCAAGGCGATTAAGGCGACGGTCACATCCATTTACTACTTCATTTATGAAACGCCAGAGTCGAACCGTTCATTTTTTTTGTTTACTGCTTTTGTATGGAGTATCTAATTTTAGATTTTCTAAAAAGACAGGTTGCATGTCCGCAAACCAAGAAATCTCTTCACGGATTTTGACAGGACCATCTTTACAAGTCAGCCAATAAGTGCTCATTAGTCCTTTGCCCTAACAAAAGAATAAGCGAATAAATCATCATAGATAATAAGAATAAGAGAATAATTCATTGAAATGATTGTGTGAAATTTTCAGGGATATACCTTTACGTCGATAAGGCCTCGGTGCTCTGTTTTAAAGCCTCCTATTCTCATTAAGGATTCATTCATTTCTTCGGTAATATGAATTTTATGTGCTTCACCTGTTGATTCCATACGTGAAGCCGTATTTACCGTATCACCAAATAAGCAATATCGCGGCATTTTAGTACCAACAATACCCGCTACCACAGGCCCTGTGTGTGCTCCACAACGTATTTGCAAGGACTCCGTTGAACGTGGTATTTTAAAGAATGTCGAAGCGTCCAGCAAATCAAGAGCCATTGTTGCAATCTCGCAAACATGTTTGTTTCCTGTTATTTTCATGCAAAAATTATAAACGAAAGTAAGTAAGAAAAATTATATTTTTGTTTTAAAACGAATCTCGGGCACACTCAACGCATTAGGCTGACAGATGAAAATTGCAAAAAAAATAAAGTTTTTGCTAACCGCGTAAGTTTGTTAGGAGATTTTTTTCTTTTTAGATTTGTTTGGTAGCATGGATCAGCTCTATTGATGATAAATCTAATATATCCAGCACTGCGGTGACTTTTTATTATTTCTTGATCTTTTTGCATTTTATAAATGACGGAAAGATTGATAATACTGAGTTCGTTTTGTTGAACGTTAGTAGAATGATAGTCAGTTGTGTACTGTCCTTTCTGGAGTTATTCCCACAAGATTATCTATTATGTCCACACATCCACACATTAAGCTTGTGTGGATCTGTGCAACGTTCAGAAGGACTAGTGTTAGGCCCAGTATCATTGTTTGCATCGATGTAAGCTTGTCCGGCTGTCTGTCTTTTTGTGTCCAATCTACAGGTTGCAATTTTTGTGATATTTTGACGAAATTTAGTACATCGGCGTCTTTTTGACTCAAAGGCGAACACTATTGAAAACGGTTCGGATCGGACTACTTTTTCGGCCACTTTTCCCATAATGCTTTCTTTTAAAAAGTCGATATATAATTGTGAAATCATGTCTCTCATTATTGTATTTTTACTTGTTTTTTTTTTATTAAGTTTTAAATGATCATTTGTTCTACATTATGAATTCCTGGGCGTATTAAGCCATGACTTGAGTATTTACTAAGAAATTTTTTTGGTTTTTTCTTCTTAAAGTTGATGTTAATGTGTATTAATGTGTTCCAACAGCAGACGGCAAGCTGACAGACCGACAAACGTAAAAAGAAACATGGGCTAAATCGTGTGGTGAACAAGAGAAAGTTTTACTTCCCAGATGTTACAAAGGCAAAGAAAGGTTTAGTTTACTTGCATTATGACGATGTGATGATGGGTATGCAAGCGTTGGAAAATTTTGTACAATTTTTGCGCTTTGTGTGTGTGTGTATTATTTTTTGTGTTTATTTTTGCTGTGAAAGGTTTTTAAGGGCAAACAACTCATCGTGCAAAATGTGTTAGCTGCTTATAATATAATAACAAACCATTTTTCACCGGTAATCCAGATGCGACCATGTAGGAATCGCCAATTGTTTCCACTTTATAGACATCGTAACATTCGATTCGTTCATCAAATACTCGATAAATAGAATTTAAAAAAGTGACCACCTAATCAATATTGTAAATAGTTTTCTCCGCTTCTTCATTTGGTATTATTATTGCGTTTTCGAGTACTTTACCTCTAAGGGCGTGCATCTTGCAGCGATTTCTGTGAAACCAACGATATCGCTAAAATAGATTGTAACCGATTCATAAAGTTCAGCGGGTACCTGTAAAATCATATCGTATCGCATCGTATCATTATGTTCGCTTGAAAACAATTGATTTATCCGTCTTTACCTGTTGAGTATGCTTCAATTGCATGGCGACGCTGGGAGGTAACATTTGAAAGAGCAATGAATCGCTTTTACGTTTTTCACGCTTCAGTTCTTTAGCTTTCTGAGCTAAATTCAAAGCGTACATCTGTAATTGTTCAACAAAAACAAAAACAAAAAAAAAAAGGAAATTACAATAAACCTTCTCCAAATCTTCCCGCTTACCTGAATAGTGGCTGCGGCATTTTTTACCAAAATAATAATAACCGGTGATACGCAAAGAACAACAACTAGGATCGCAATTCCAATGGCTTCTTTATTGGCTGCTTCGTAAAGAGTGCTATCCACGTATTCTCTAAATAGTTTAATCGAATAGATAGTAAGCAAGATAGTCAGGAGAAGGGCAAGGTAAATAAAATTAAATAAATTCTTACTTAATTTTGTAACGCAAATCCTTTTGCAATATCCTTAAGTCGTCCGTGTAATTATGCATTGAATCGTAATATTCCATGGCGTTCTGTTTATCTGCGACATTTGGTTTATTTTTCAATACAATGGCACTCCTTTTTGCAATCGCCATCGGAAATGTAATAATAATGTGATCGTTACATGTTTACTTAGAAATATTCCTAAAAAAATATATCTTACATTCTTTTCATTTTTTTATATTTTGCTGTTTTTGTAATATTAGCGTACATTGGCTTCAATGATGGCACGTAATTAAGAGTCGAATTGATTAATTCACGTGCCAAAAAATCGTAACGTATATAAGAGACAAACGCGTCCGAACCTAAAAAGCCTCGCCCGTAGTACTTGATACCAAAAGAAGAAGCAATATTTTGACATTCGATGCTCTTAAGAAGATTCTTAAATCCCACTAAATATCTTCGATCAATTATGCATAAAATTATTTAAAACGATATCTATTCTAAAATTATATCTACCTCCAAACACCGCTGTTATCGGCCTCTTTAATTTGTTCTGATAGGTGATGGAGTAAAGCTTTATTAATCGATGTATACCAGTTCATAACGTCCGTAACTGAATTGTCTTCTGGTTCGGAAAGTATTCGCTCTCTTTATAATAAAATATATATTTTTTGATGAAATTTAAAAATGGGCGCTTGGTCGCTCTGCGTACCTGAATTCATTTAGACGATTTTGGAACTCAGTTCGATTAAGAAGCACTTCCTCGTCATCATCATCGGGAGAAGTCGGTACGCTTACCTCACTCCATGTAGTCATATTATTGAGTGCCTGATCAGTTACCGTAAAACGTTGCGTAAGATTTGATCTAAAAAAATTATATTATGATTTCCTATAAATTTTTTTTTATCTCTTTTTCTTTTTTCATCTATTAACTTAAGACTGCTAAGCAGAGATGGCTTTTCAATATTGCTACCCGTAACTTTTCTCTGCTTACCATTAAGATGTATTCATTCTGTTTTAATACCCACTACTATAAGAAGAGGGTATACTCACTTTATTATTTTTCCATAATGTATGTAACACCCAAAAGGAAGGTTCAGAGGACCTATAAAGTATATATATCCTTGATCAGCGTGAAATCCTGAATTGATTAAGCCATGTTTGTCGGTCTGTGTGTCTGTGCGTATGTGGGTCGCGAAAATGAAGATATCGAATTTGGTAGAGACATTGGAAGTTTTTGCACGCACGTTGGCGTTGGAAATGGCCGAAATTGGTCGAAGCAGAAGCGCGCAGTGGAGCATAAACTGCATTTACTTTGCGAAAGACTCGCGATTGAATTACCTTCTTTTCACTTTTTTGAGATTTTATGCCTGTTTATCATAACGTAAAGAAGGCAAAGTATTTAAAATTATTTTGTACATTCGTCAAATGAATGAAATGAATGCATATTATCCGCCTAAAAATGGGTTAATTTTAAAATGAGGAAGAGGACACCGTGATTAGCAATACCAGCGATATAAGTATCAAATGAAAGAACTTGGCGAGTAGAATGCGGGGAGCATAGTGATGGGTATGCGAGATTCGGCCCCCGCCGAATATAACTTTCTTGTTCGGTTAAGTCTATAAACTGTGTAAGTGGCGTAAATGCGACTTGCGTAACTAAATATCCGGATTTCACACCTATGTGCGGTGAACGACACTTGTAGCGGCAACACACATTTCAAGTCGTGTGTATTTTTTACAACTTGAATACGCTTGGCTAGCTTGACGTATATTTGGTCAGCGGAGAAGAAGAAGTGCAAAATTTTGTTTATTTCAGACCCAAGATTTGCCATTTTATCTTCGCGGTATTCTTCTATTGCCAAAGAGGCGGAAAAAATATAGGTATGTAGGTAGAGAGCGATACTCCCTTTCTCTTGAAATTTTCAATTTTTCTTTGTTCAAAAAATTCTAGAAATTTTGTCGTGTATTGTATATATTGTACACATTTTTGTAACATTTTATGTCTATAGGTTCTCTAGCTCTGTCCAATTATTTTCTACGGACCTTTTTATGTCTAGGGTCACTCTTCAAGATTGCTTAAAAAGGAATGGGAGTTGTGAAGATAGTCATAGACGCCATAGTTAAGCTAGCTAGTTCAGGAAATGGGGGCGGTTTTAAATTTTGTCTCACGGACAGTCCACAGACGCTTACATCTAAAGGAAACGCACGTAATTTATTTTTATACGAGTAGAGAGATGAACGGAACCTACCTTACCGAACGGGAATATTTTGAGCCCCGAGTCTTTCTCTATCCTGCCCTACTCATTGCCTCCTTCGACCTATGATGGCAATAGGAGATATATACATATATATATTGTAAGGACCAAAGTCACGTAGCTTATTTTAGTCCTACATGTAGTTATAAATTATTCTTATGTATTTAAAGTACGATAAGTATATTTTATTTTTCATTAATTTTTTTCGATAACACGTAGTTTGTTATTCTCTTGTGAGTATTATAAGGATGCGGTAATAGGTACGAACTGTATAAGTAAGAACGAAAAGGAATGGGAATATCACATTCGAGATAACTTAGTTGACATAATTCGAATGTGATCAGTCAACCGATTGGCAATACCCATTCGCGTTCGAACAAAAGTATAGACACGAAGAATATGGCTTCTGACTTCCTTCTTCTTGACTTAACCGCCGTCGAGGTGAAGAGGTGAACGTAAGGAAAAATGCGTCGTCATCCGCCAGGATCTCACGATATAGGGGCCGAATCCGTTTTGGTTGGATTAGGGACTCTTCTGTTCTGTCTATGGACAATTGACTATCGATTAACTCACGATAAGTCATTTACGTTAAGTATACGTACTCTAATTTTAATGTTTAGCTGCTAACAACGTAAGTGAAATAATAAAGACAAGTCGAGCTAGATCGTCAACCGAGGTTAGGGTTTCCTTTTAATGAATGGAGAAATAGATTTCACCAAGATAAGGACGCCTGGAATAGCCGTTGAACCTACCCCGGCATCATTAAAAATAAATTTTTCCAACGAAGGAAAAATAACATGCTTCATAATATGTATATGGGAATCCATATCGTGACCTAAAGAACTTATTCTACTCGGCTATGCCCCTGGCCCTCGAGTTACTCTAATGCATTCCGCCACATTGTTTGGTTCGGAGCACCATTACAAAATGTTCGCGAAACAATTGTCGTCGGATTTCGCCGATGATCTCACATTCACATAGGATGCGATGGAACGTTTCGCTCGTTCCTAGGCAGAATCCGTATGAAAGGGTATCGGACAGACTCATGTCTTGCCAGGTGATACCTTAGGAAATTGTGATCCGTGTAGAAACATGGTAGGAATATTGCTGAAGGGATTTTATCATTGACAAATTTATTTCCGTCGTAGTTCGTGAGTGGTTTTACTAGCAATCGTACTAAAATTCAATTAACAATTGAAAAATAATAATAAGAGATGCGAATGTTTAACGCTGTTAATACTGGTTGATTTATGATTACACTTACCGTTCTTCGCTACCATTTGCGAATATAAAAAATGCCACTTCTGATCGTTCCAACTGAAGGCGTGTAACGACTTTTCCTAAGTCTGTGGCAATTGTTACCTATACATGATATGTAAAACGGTTAATATAGGTAGATAATCTTTTGTATAGAGATATATAATAATTGAAGGTAATTAATGTCCTTCTAGCAATTGATAAACCAATTCAAATGTATTGATAAGGATTAATCTTTCATCGTTGTTTTGCTTAATATAAGCAAATCCACTAGTAAATTGTGAGTAGAAGACAACGTTGACTGTAGTAAATAACGGGAAATACTTTTCATCCAATTAGTGTAACGCTGGAAACTTGCGTGCAATTGCCTAAGCATTTACTGTTACTTGCTAAAGTTATATACGTGGTAAGATGCACCGTCTACGCAGGTTTATTTAAGAGCTTTTAGATAGATAGATATTTTAACCTTCTGGACAGATAGATGTCTTTAGAAAGTGTTTAGGTTCATTTAAACCACTTCCAACCAGAAGTACGTTATTGCAGCCCCTCAGTTGCAGTTTTTAATGTCAGTTATGAATTCGGCTATTGAACTGTAGATTAACAAAACATGATCCTATGGCTGCAGACTAATGATAACAATTAATGTAACAATTTTTAAGATTTCGTTAAATCTTGCCTAAGGATTTGGCTAAATTAACTAAGAACTTTAAAATGAAGTCCTTAGTGTCGGTTCGTTTCAGAAGTTCCAAAAGAAATTACAATAGGTGGACAGACGGACGAGAGTATCTAAAACGAAATGTTATGCTAAACAATATTGTACTAGTTTTATAGATATTGCTATACCTATTACCAGTTGTGACAAAAGAGCTAAACAATTCGTATGTGTAAACGAGTAGGAAAGCACCGCAACTACCAAGTCAGTGTGCGCGGGTTCAAATCTCAAGTGCCGTAGATTTTACTTTTGTAGTGAGTGTTCAGTCGGTAGAAGCTTAACACTTATCGATTGGGTAGACAGCCACCAGGGTGCGCTCACGACCTCCATATACCTTTTTCTTCCTTCACTTCTTTCTAACCGTTACCGTGTTACACGGGTAGGGGGTATACGATGAGCGATTTATTTATCGCCTGGGAAACATTTGAAAACTTTAAAATCCATTTTTTTACACCCTTCATCATTTGTGATACAAGAACATATTAACGTATGTGACGTTAAGAACCACATTTTATTCTACCGATCTAAACTTTCCTGTTCGTCAGTCCTTCTTGTTTTTTGTAATCAATCTATAAGCAGCTTATTTTCAGACGAAAATTGGTACACTGACGAGTATTGGCCCAAGGACGAGCACTATTGAAAATGCTTCGAATTGAACCACTTTTACGATGACTCCTCATATAAACTGTATTTTAAAAAGTCGTTCTACGAATAACTATATGAAGTGATTAAGGAAGATGATAAAGTAACTGATAGGTGTTCACGCCCACTAATGATTATAATGGGTACACTTGATTTGCGCTCTACAATCATCCGGAGTTATGCTTATGGTACAAAGGTAGATTAGACTTGAGATGAGACCCACCTCAAAATCATTCTCTAGGCTTGTCCGTCCGTCTGTCCGATTGCTTTTTTTTTTGTTCAATTTGCAGTACTCAAATTTTAAGGTATTTTGATGATATGTTTTGGCTCAAGGGCGATTGCTGTTGAAAATTGTTCCACTCCCATCCATCGGACCACTGTTTCGGCCACTTCCCATATAATGCGTTATATATAACTGTACAGTAGTGTAGGGTATTTAATGATAGTTGTTCATTTTAGTTAATTTCAATTATTAACGATTTTAAATAAAAATTTTCAATGTTTCGGACGGTTTTCAGCTATATAAGCAACGCAAACACCAAATCATGAGCAGAATTATTTATGAGAGTGTAATAAGTATAAGAAAGAAATTTTGAAGAAGTCGAGGGAAATTTTGATTTACAAACCCCGATAGTGCTGCATTTATGAATGTAGTAAACCAACACGGTAAGCAAAGGAATGAATGGAAAAATTCTGCAAAATTGAACACTGCGGAAGAATAGTACTCATAAAGTCATTAAGTGTGCGACCTAAATCTAAGATTTTAAAGAGATCACCTAAAGACTTTCAACAGCCCTTGCTTAAATATCTGAGAGTAAGTAGAATCGCTGCTGAGTTTGAAGTGGTAAAAATGTCTTTTATAAAAACAATAAATGTTCCAATGAATTGATTTGTATTTTACGAAAAACAAACCAAAAAGGCAACCAATAAATGTAAATTTCTCCGTTACGCTCACATGTCAAGTTCCCCTACTCATCTCAAAACCAAAATTGGCAAATGATAGACAAGGTGACAAAACCGGCATGTCGTATTCTCTTTTGATCTTACATCTTTTCAAATCACGTATGGATAGTTATTAATGATCATTTTATTATTTTCTATAATAAAAATGCTATAAACGTAGAAGAAGTTATTTCATATTTTTTTTAAAACCAAAAGGAAAATTAATTAATATTACATGGATGCGATAAAGTGAGTTAAAATTTATCGTAGGAGTATATGTAATGTGTGTTGACACTTTTTTCCTATGAAGAAATTTTGCAAAATTTTTCTTTTCGTTTATCTTGACAAAGCACTTACTTACCTGAGCTTCGATATCAGCGACTTCTGCCTTATAGTCAAGTATTTCTTGCAGCGTTACTGATGTTTGCACAATCAACGCCAATATTGGTATAAATGGAAGTATTATCATCTGCAAAGTGTGCATTATTTGTGAAACGTGTACTTACATAGTTATTTTTAATGTCTACGTCTGTAAACATTTCTCAAACACATATATTTATATTCAGGACGAACTTGTCCGTGTGAAATATGTACCAGAAATGTGCATCAAATAGCCCTTAAACTGTATATATCTAAGGACACAATCGAAGGATGAGTGTTATTCCTGCATCACAGATACTTGCCAATAATATGGGATATTTTTTTTTGTATTTCGCGCCATTTTTGAACACATCAATGCATAATTGTTGCTGCGATGTCTCTTGGGTGTTAACAGGTAAAAATTTTGGGCTACTTGTGCACGCGTTGGCTTTGTATACGCTGATTGTCTCTTGCAAGATCATCAGTAAGATAGTGATTTCTAAATAAAATTATTTTATATGATGAGATTCTTTTTCAGTTCTCTGAGTACATAAGGGAGCAAAACAGACGCTTCCGAGTCCTCGAAAATCCCAGAGAACTAGACGATAAATCTCTCCAAGCACAAAGCGTAACAGTTTGGTACACTTGTTAAGTCATATTTGTGAATTTTGTGTTACAGAGAAATAGTATTGACCGATTGATTTCTTAATGTTTTGGAGTTAAAGCTATTGCCGTAGGTGACACTTATATCTAGCAAGACGGCTTTGCCTAATAATATATAAATCGCAGCGCAATGGTTCTATTGAGTGATTGATTTTAAAAGACATAAATCTCGAGTCAACTCAGCCCCATCGGTTTCATCTAGATGGCTGAGGCAAAAGTTGAAATAGAAAATCAAGTTTAGCGTACACCTTTGTCATTGATGCACACATGTCAAGATTGAGATTGGCCGTGGTTTAGCCACAATATGCCAGATAACCAAAAAATTGTATCTATTAATACATGCAGCAATATTTAGCAAGATCATAAATCAGCGTGATCCTCCTACAAATACTCTCCCAAGATAGATCTACAGACGATATTGAATTAAAACTTGGTGAACGCTTTGAAAAGACGTGAAGAAAGTCCGATTGAATAATTGACAAATCTACATGAACTTCTTTGTAAATTTCTAAGTACTGCTTGGGGGATCAGGGTTTCCAAGATACGACCCAAGAGGGGATTTTTACTTTGGTACTTCCATTAAACGTAAACGTTCTCATTCGTCCATATTCGAATTCGATCTGCACAAATAAGTTGAAGTTAAACGTACTCTCTTTCCGCACTTTTATTATTATTATTATTATTTTTTTTTTTTGAGAGAGAGAGAGAGTAAAATTAATTAGACGAAACCAGAGGTTACACGCAAGTGATAACTCACGCGCTCTAATTTTTAAGACAATCTCACTTTACTTAGCATGCCTATACTGAAGCTGGAATACCAGATATGGGAGTTTGTTCTTGGTCCAAACGCTTGCCTCTGGATCCAGCGAGACATATCTAACATGTCTAGCTGTTTAAGGCACTCTAAAGAATCAATCCAGCAATGCCTGGCACCCAACCACATTATTTCTCTGGCCCATCAATAGGACACAGGCATGGGATAAATCTTGGACGTGCGGAGTAGCTGATCACTGACTAAAGGAATCTGCAAGCATATGACTTCTGATATTCTCTGTGAGGGAGGGAGAGAGAATGAAAGAAAGAGTAAAAAAGAGGGAGGCAGAGCTTGACAGGGATAGATCATTTTACAAATTTTCGAGCGCATACTTCTCTATATTACAATTAGCGGTTTATAGAGCGCCATTTTGCATTGGCGAGCATAAATAAAAGAAAATAAACAAATAAATGCAATTGTAATTTTCCGATCTAAACGCAACAGTAAATAATTATTATTATTCTTTCTTCACCTTTAGATAAGCTAAAAGTAAAAGGAATTCTTCTGGGAGTCGTGAATACTAATTTCGCAATTCAATTTTCTGTTTAGCTAACGGCCCTAACCTGTCAACATTTCAACTTTTGTACAACAGACTGCCATTTAAAGTTCCTATTAAGATTAATATTTGAATGTATGTAGGCGACCCGGTAAGGCCACATATAGACCCTACCTAGTTGCATTCGTATGTTCATAAAACACTCGTTATTAAAGAAATTAAAAAAAAAAAAAAGAAAATAAAAGAAAGAATACAAAGCAAACACTATTTTATTTAATGGCTATATAAACAAGTTACAGTGATATCTGATAGTATAAAGAAGTATAGTTTTGCATACATATACACATACAAAAATGTATGCGTTCACTTACCTGCATAAGCTGCAAACGTCGTCCCGTCTTTATTGCTGGATTTCGAGCTTCTGCGCTACAGCATTTTGCTTCGACGGCCGTAGATATATCCTCTGAGCTAATCGAGTGGACGGACATTTTATCAATTTCATTGACAATGGCATTAATGACTCGATACTAATTCGCTCATTGTTCACAAGATATAAATTTGTTTACTACAAATTATAAAATACTCTTTTAAAAAAGACCTTAACTTGTAGATTGGATAAATGTCGATGCTAATACCATGTGTTGTTATTATTATTATTATTATTGTTATTATTATTAATCAATCACTGAATCGCTTAAAACGTCCAATGATGTGATTATTATGTTTTATAGTTAAATGTTCAAAAAATGACCTTGTTATCTGAGAAGCAAGCAAAGCAATAAAAAGAAAACAATACTGTATTTGTAAACAATAAATTTAACTGACTAGAAGGGACACAAATCTAATGCTTTTCCCAAAAAACACGATGGGTACAGAATTTTTACTATTATTAATGTTTTGTAGTACTTAGTATCACAATCGTGTTTACGCCTTCTTGAACTCCTACCTTTGCCGTAGATTTGCTTTCAATGATTCCAATGCAAGAAAAAATTCGAACTAAGTATTTTCATCCGATTTAGTTCGAATTCTTCTTCTGTTTAAGTCCTATGCATATATTTCACTTAAACGGTAAGCTTGGTAAAAGTTTATCAACCCAAGGGATAATTCGCACTAGTTTTCGGCTGTCAATACATTTGTACGATTGTGACAGCTATCGGGTGAGTTTATAATAAATCTGCTGTACATACAATATTTGGGTGTTGAAAATGCATGAACAATGCCATGATATTTGTAGGTAAAAATCATTTCAAGTGTTAAGACTTATTTCCATTTCTCTTCTCTAACTGCAACAAGTCACAGCTAAGCCAAGCTGTCAACTTCAAGTTGGGCCACACAGTGTCGAGGTGCTGTACAGGTGATCATTATTATAAATTGATGCGTTACCGACCGACGTTCAATATTTTTATACGCTACGCTACTTGTCGTACAGAGTATATTAAGTTTGTGCGGACGTATGTAATCCCCAAAAGGGCTTAATGTGCATCCACCTTTTATTATACCGATCGATTCATTTCGCATCATTTTCTAAATCGATCCGAGCCTGCCTATACGTGTAATGTCTCTCCATGTAATCTTGTGCTCAAGCTGCATGCTGCAGTTTTTAAGATATTTCAACGAAATTTGCTACAGAGACATACTTTGGCATAAGAACGAACGCTATTGAAAACGGTTCGGATCGGTCCACTTTTTCGAGCAGTATCTATATAAGGCCGAAGTTCATACGACAAGTCCAATTTTCAATGCTTGATGATCTCCATGAAAAGCGGGTCATAATAGTAATTCATGAAATTCAAGAAAAATTAACTGTACCAAATTCGATCTATCTCGGTCTATTTTTTGGATTCCACCCTAAAAAGGATTTTCAAGAAAATTAATCCCTTATAGGGTGGAAAAGTCGAAGTTTTCATAGGTGATAGTATAATAGTAATTTCATATATAACGGAAATTACGTGTGGTGTAGGGTATTTTATGGTCAGCCTTAATGTACTTATTTGTTTGAGTTTGGAATTAGTGCTAGCGAGGGATGTTAAACTTCAGACGGATTTTCCACACGAAACAAAAACTCTATTGCGTGATTGCTTCAAAATGATAACTCTTGTCAATGGACATCGTCATATACGGATCTTTATAGGTCTGCTCCACAGAAAAGACATTGATAGTATCGCAAAGAGTCTCCGGTGAAGATTATCTTTTCTTTTAAAAACCTACGGATAAAAATTGAACGGCATAGCAGGAAGTATGTATATGCTAGAAATGCAAGAGCGGTTTATACTACTTGTAACGTAGATGAGATTTATATATATATAGACTCTCTTTTTGGAATCATTTAAATCGGCCAGCCCAAGCAATGGCACTGTTTGCAGAATGTCTGGTGAGAATGTTCCTTTTCTAACGCAAAATAGTGTGGACATTAAACTATGCGGTAAGTAGGCGTCGCTTTGTCCAGAGCAAATAAAATGGCCAGCGCTCATTTTCTCATTCTGGCACTCCAAATTCGTTACTTCAAATGCTAAGTATTTTTTCATTTTCTTTCAATCCATGTACATGATATCAGTGCCGTGGAATTATACGATCTGTAATGTAGGCCTAAATGTAACAACTACGGGGGCAGTCCCCTATAAGCGTAATATATTTCATCGCTAGGCCCGACTTCTTCTTCTTAGTAGAAACATTGTAAGATGGTGCAAACATCGAAAATCAATGAGTACCAGATTTAATGAGCTGGGAAAATAACGATCTATGTTGTAATTATACAAGAACAACTTTATAAGCAAGTGAAAGGTGACTCTTTTCTCCTCCTGTCCAGATAAATTTAGCTGCATTATAATTTTAGATACAATGGATCCATGAGAAGTAAAATTTCTCCCGTTACCGTTATAGACGTTTAGAAATAATTGGTTAAAAAATTGCTTTTGTTTCTCAATAGGGAAAAAACAGTTGAACTCATTTGTTGCCAACTAACACTATGATATAGCCGTTTTTTAGCACAGTCCTAGCGTCATATATTTATGTCAGTTTAGAAGAAAGTTTATTTTACTTTTTTAAAGCATTCTAAATAGATATATGTAAAATCTATTCCATTTACTGTGATATTGATGTCACAAAGAAATGTCTTTGGCTATGATGGATATTTTTCCCAGGACAACTTGGTAGGAGCTGGGATGCATATTTTTTATAAGAGAGCCTGCCTGGTAAGAAACGGATTAAGATGGTTACTGAACAAAGTAGAGTCTCCCGTATTGTTTTGAAGTCTATTTTAAAGAGGTATAATTATATATATCTTTCAGAAATAGTGCTTTCTTTCAGTTCTTTCTTCTAACGTAGAGACTGTCTCTTTAGTCATTCATCGCCTTAGCAAATATGCTATCAATTATGTGCTCAAATCAATTATCTCTCACTTATAATCATTTGTATGGCCGCTACTCTTGATGATTATTTACAAAGTCACGGTTTTGAGAAATATATTTACTATTTCGTTACGAACTATAATTGGCCTTAAAAATTTCCTTAGAGATTTGAAATTTGCGCTCAAGCTCAGAATTTTTTATTATTATAATTTTTACTATTATTAATTTCGCCAGAGAAATAAATTCTAGGACTAAACACTTAATTCACTAGCATCTAAGGCTACCGGCTTTTATTAAGAACTTTACCGCACTTGGGATTCGAAGCCACGACCATTGAGTTGCTAGTCGAGATTCCTCACCTTCGGCCGCTCATACGGATAGCTCAGAATTTAATTGCTTTATGAGTTTTAAAATTAAAAAACATACATATATACATTAAGAAAGGAAGCTGCGAATGACGAATGGGCAGACGGGTTGTACATACGCTTTTGTAACAAGAGTGCAGCTTCGAAACTTTGCAATTATATAGAGGTTTTGTATGGCTTCTTAAGGTGTGTTTTTTTTTCATTTGTTTATATGTATAAAACTTGAGCTAATAAGCAGCGAGTAAGAAATAGCCTTAAACGGAAATGCAATTTAATTGATTTGTGTAGGAAGAAGAGAGGAAGGGAGAGAGTTATACATGTAGAGAATAAAATTAAATATCGATTACACAATTCAATTTAATTAATTTATTGTACCCATCACCGAAGGACACAACGCCCATGAGGAAGCTTCAGAGACCCTCCAAAAGTATATATATTCTTGATCAGCAAATCAAATTCTAAGTCGATTCAAACATGTCTGCCTGTCTAGTTGCCTGTCAGTGTAATGTCTGTTGTACACAGTCTCCTGGCAAGAAAAATGAGGCAGGCTATCGACCTTAAAATTGGCAAAACATTAGAGGTTACTGCACGCAGGTTGGGATTGAAACCCACATAAAGTCGGAACGGCTCTGTTTTTCAAACGGAATAAAAAATTGGTTTTTCATAAATTGAAGCAGATAAATGTACAATAATTTGAACGCATATTCTATGGACGATGCTGTATAAAACTGCATAAAACTGTAAAACAATGGAAAAAATTAACCACACCTATCCATTGTTATAGTGCGTCAAAGCTTGTCCGTCTGTTCGTCCGTCCATATGTGCATCTACCCAACTGATGTCACCTAAAAATTGGCAAAAGAATGTGGATGTGAACTAAACCTTTCAAAGGACACGCCTACAATGCCCACCTATGCAACAAAGGCTTGCATTTTCAAAATAGAAAAAATCAGCCGCTCCCATTCCATATTATGGAGCATGAAAATTTAGTTCTTTTACTTTTTTTTGTCTTTTTTAACACAACGGTGACGGATACAAAAGATTCGGTCACGACCGAATATAATTTTCTTACTTGTTTTTCTCGCTTGAAATAATCCAAAAGTGTTTTATGGACCGTCGAATCTGTTTATGTGGCTCCAAAATTGAACATTTCGAGTAAAGAAACGGCTTATAGTCTGAGACCATGTCTGTGTCCAAAAATAAAAAAAAATTGGGTATTTTGCCCGTGATTTATAAACAATAACAGAGACATTCTGTTCCTATTAAATTCGTCATAATTCTTGATCACGATAGTACGTTAAGTATACAAATACATTACTCTTATTAATATTATAATTTCTTTAGACTAACGAAATAAATTTTTAAACTAAACAAGTAAAAACACTATAGCACGCCCCGGTCCATAGCTAAATACCCTGCATCTTCCTAGATATGCATATAATGACTTTTTAAAAATAAGGCCTTATATTGGATATCGTTGAAAAAGTGGTCTAAATGGAACCATTTTCAATAGCGTTTTTCCTTGGACCTTGAGTGGTATATCCAAATTTCGTTAAAATACCATGAAAATTGTGACCTGTAGGTTGAATGCAAAAAAAATACGGCGGACAGATGGACAGACAAGTTTAGATCAGTTCGGAAGGTTACTCCGAATCGATCGGCATAATAAAAGGTTGGTTTGTGTCAAGTTCTTCTGGGTGTTGCATACATCCGCACAAACTTTATATACACCCTTGTACCAGAAATGGTGTTGGGTATAAACATGGAGAAAATTTATCGATGATCTGTAAGATTTAACAGAAAACGGTATAAAATTCGGTATGAATATTGAACAGCATCTAAAACGAAAGCTTCAAATTCAATTCAATTAAGAAAAATATTCTCTCATTATGCTTTTAGTCCCCAAAAGATTCTATTGGGATCAACATTTATTTCTGCCACTTACTAATCTTTCCAAACAATGAAGTGGTAATTATATATTTAAAAGATGTCGTCCAAAATAACTTTAGTTTAACAGCAAGTTTAGTTAGCATATTATTTATAATATTTTTTCTTTATGAATACTTATTGTTTAATGTCAATACAATAATTTTTAAAATAAAATATAACAGACATTAAAAGAATGACTGATTTGTTTTTCTTCAAGTTTTACGTAATATTCAAATGAAATTTTTTAATTTCCTTGCTAGAGGTAAAGTGTTTTTCAAAAGTTTCCCTATTACGCATAATGCAGACACATTTTAAATGTAAAATAATAAATTCATTCTAGGTGGGTAACAACAAGTCGTCACATCGTCAACACCATTCAGTTATGTAATAATAACGCCAAAGGAGTGTGCATTTGAATAATTTTAAAATATTTTAAGATATATATTTTTTTTTTTTTATTATTTTTTCACATATGGTTCGTAAGCGTATATCACACATATATCTTTCGCTGTCATTGAGATGAAGGGACTTTTTTGGAGCTACATTGAGCTTCACATACTTATGCTATCTTATCTGTCTCATAAAGAGTTGCTTAAAGCATATAAAAAAAATTCAACTCTTAACTAAAATACACTTAAGTAACTTTTTATGTAAGTCTGCAATATTTTAATTAATTAATTAAATAATTGAAATTTTTTTTTTATGAAAAGTTGTATTTGATTTATTTATTTAATTGTTTTTTTTAATAATTCCGTACTAGTTTGAAACAAAATTTATTTTAGTTTGAAACAAAATTTGATTGCGTTATTTAACGTTACATTACTTTGAACTGTTCATGTCCGTTTCACTTTAGTCACTGAATTTAGAAACCTGTTGAGTATCCTCTTCTAACAGTTATACTTTACTCACAGTTAACGGATTGTAGCTAATAGCGAAAGGATACAAGAAAGAAAGAAAGAAAGAAAAGTAAACATACACGAAATCTACACGAAAGCTAAACTAATTTAGTCGCTACTTCACACAAAAAAAGAAAATGAAAAAAACATACTGATTAATTGTCAGGTATCTTTTACACCTCTATTTATTAATTGGTTCAATATCATCACGATTTTATGTGAGCACATACACATAAATATATCGCAGCCATAGATGAAAAACAAACAAAGTTGGAAAATTTATTCATAAAAGGTATGTAATATTAACTAAAATTATGTTTTGCTAATTCTTTTCCCTTTTTTTTCTCCGCTTTTTTTCTCTATGCTGCTACGTTTTTATTTAAAGTATTGAAAGGAAGGTATTTAGAGGATATCGTCATAGGGTTACGTGCGTACCTACGTATATAATATAAATTTAATGATCTTAGTTTTGTTTTAGGCGTGCCCTTCTCTCTCTCTCCCTCTTTCTCTCTTTATCTATATCTGTGCATATTGAAAAAACTTTGCATAAAATTGAAAAAGAAACATTAAATTTCTTTCATTTTGTTCGTCATTACTTTTAAGTTACCTTATTTCGACACTTAATTTAAGCAGGAAGTGTTGCGGCAAATTTGACCATAACTTGTAACGGCTTTGACCTGCCTTCTCCGTTTGCTACTTCGATCTTTAAATCTTTTCTAGAAGAATAAGATTTATCTTAACAATTTTCTCGTTCTCTTCTGCTCCATTACGCATTCAAATACGGCCTTATAAAGCATGCTGGTTGGAAAAATCATCACAAATATTGAAGATATGAATAATTTCATTATTTTACTCAATACTGACTTGAGTTGAGAAAGGCGCCGGAAAATATGCATAATAGGGCTCAACACCGTAAGCTTGCAATTATCATAATTTAATAAAAACTTTCATCGGTACGAAAAAAAAGGACACAATTTTTCTATTGGAAAATTTTGTCAAAACGTTTGCAATGCGCAGAAGGAAGATTCAGAGACCCAAAATATATAAGATTAGCATAACAAATTCTGAATCGATTTAATTCTTAAGCGATTTAAGTCTTAAGTGTAACCATTGTTGTATGTATTCTCCTGGCCGCAAAAATGAAGCTATTGACTTCAGTCGGTCAAACGGCCCGTCTATAGTACCATGTAAAGTGAGGACGCCTCCGCTTTTTAGGAGCAATATATTATTATTATTATTATTTTAATTTTAGACTAATGAATTGAATTCTTAGACTAAAAAAAGAGACATTGAGCACTAGCAACACAGGCTATCGGCTCTAATTTAAATAAATGGATATTAGATAATAAGCTTAGTAGTATTAATAAAGTAAAATATTGAATTGATATTCTGTTCTGAAGTTGATTGTAGAATGTTCAAACGGTTAATCGTTCCAAACGCAATACTTCTAGCCAAGGAAAAGTTGAGGCAGTCGCAGAGAATGTGCTTTATAGTAAGAGTTTGTCCACAACAGCAGATCGGGGGAGAAGACTTCTTCAGGATCCATTGGTGAGTTGCAATTGTATGACCAAGGCGAATTCTCGAAAATGTTTGGATCTTGGTTTTCTCAACATTTGTTGGATATAGAGGTGGAGTTAATTGAGGGTTAATGCAAGAGTAGTGTTGATGATGGTATTGTAAATTTCCTTCTGCAATTTTCTCTTTAACTTTTCTTCCAATGTATCTTTGAAGATCCAACTTTTCCATGACATCATCCATAATTAGAGGAGCAGAAGCAGCATACTTTGCCGCTCGATCAGCCTGCTCATTTCCCAGTAAACCGATGTGACTTGGTACCCATAACATTTTAATTTTTCCGTCGGGTGTAGTACTTATATTCCTTAATTTGTTGAAGGTGCTAGGAGCAATATAAAAGTGGGTTTTTGCTCATTACTCATAAACAGCAGCAGATAAAACTACGAAAATTTGAACATGTATTCTATAGGCGACGTTGTTGCATCTGTACAAAATGGAGAAAATCGCCCATGCCTGCCCAATGTTATAGTATAACGAAATTAAGTTTTTTTTGTCAATACCTCAATAACGTGCAGAGGCTACTTTCATTAACCCTATAAAGTACGTCTAATTCCCTTGTTAGACAATCTACTTTACACGAAAGTTGATCTGATCGGTTTGGTTTATATTTGATCAATTCTTTTCTTAATATTTCTATGAATGTTTTCATTCCCGATCCTCACAACTATGCATTGCAACTTTGCGTTATATTTTTCACTATTTAGTTAGAATATGTCGATAATATCCGTATACGAGCGGGATTCCCCGAATTATGCGTACAAATAAGGACGTAATGTGTTTTTTACGCAATTTAGTTTGGTTTTTTAATGTATCGTTCGTTTTCAATTAATTAATGAAATGAAATTTGAAAACACGAAAGTGAACTCTATAAGAACTTTTGAATATTGTTTATTGCCCTTGTCAGTTTACTTTTTTAAATATCGAACCAATCTACTATTCTTCCCTTAAGCCAATTTCCTTTTACACGAATGTTTTACACGAACATATTAATCGTGTAAAAAGAGAATTCTTGGCCGGGTTTGAAATGCATCTAAGTATGACCATCTATTCGTCTGCCCAGCTGTGCACTATCTGTGGTATACATTCTCTCGAACCCAATTCGGTTAAAGAAAGCGCCTACAACCCTCCCACACCTATGAAACAAAAACTGTGTGTGTGTTGCTTTCCGTGTTTTGTGCTTGTTGCTCATAAAATTTCCACTTTTAATCTGAAAGTGAAAAAAAAACAACCGCGCCTACCTAATGTTGTAGCGGATGAAAATTTTGTTCTTTTCCTTTTTTTAGTCTTTTCTTGGAATAACGGTGATGAACATAAGTGACAAGCGAATATAATTTTCTGAGCCATTTGCGTTGTCTTGAAGACGGATCCTTCGATCTTTTCATGTAAAACGTATATTTTGTAATTTTTTTTACTATAGAAGAGCATCTAAAAATGCGATTTTTTCCATCTTTGAAACGAGTGTATTCTACATAAGTAGTTAACACTAGAACTATCGACGTTCCTTATACATATTTTTCTACCAAAACCGCTTATGCAAATAGGAAAATGAAATTAAGCATTTTCTCTAACTTACTTCGTTATAAACATATCCGACGTATCGGTTTCATTTTCGCAATTAATATTAGCGTCATTTTTTTCTCCCTCAGCATTATCGTGGGAACCACATTATTTCAATTTTGCAGATATTTCAATGAACTTTGGTGCACACACGTATTTTTGCCCAAGGACGAAAGCTATTGAAAATGTTTCAGATCAGTTCACTTTTTCGAGCACTCTTAACGCTCTACAAAATATCAATTTTCAAAATTTTTCGACAAAAGTGGCTAAGTAATACTATTTCGGCATTCTAAATTTGTATGAAAACTTTAGACCGGCTGGGACAATTTTTTTAAAATCCATCTTGTAAAACAGTCTCTACTCGAAAACTGAAGCTTCATATGGTAAAAAGATCGAATTTTCAATATTTGATGGTGAAAATTGGCTCACAATAGCAAATCGGTAAAAAAATCAACTTTGTCGAATTTGGACCGCATGGGTCTATTTTCTGGATACCACCAAAAAAAGCCTAATGGTTAATTTTTTTGTGATAGTAATTAAACAAAAAAATTAAGTGGTCTTAATTTCAGTAGCATATTACATTTAGATTCACAAAAGATTATGAATTAAAAGCGTGGTATTCATTCTGAAGAACCAGCCATGTGAAATGAATAGGTAACGCGTCTTATCCAATAACTTATGCGAGATGCGGCAAATTGCACAAAATATGTTAACTACAAATATTAATATCATAATTTCTTTATAGATTTTTTTTCTTTTTAATTACGTAGGTATATAATTTGTAACCTATCTAAAAAGATGATAAGTAAATGTTATATCAAGATGGGAGATATAACAGAACTTGTTTCCCTAAAGGGGATCATTGTCGATATAGATATAATGCTCAAATAATTGAAGAGAAACAATGTGTATTTGGAAAATTCGTTAAAGTAATTTAAAGAGCAAAGTGAAATTAATTTCTAAATAAAAGATTCCGTATATGATGCCTTTTCAATCTTTCTTATTTCATGCAGAAGAGACATTGCCAAGGGATTTACGTGATTACTCAGTCTGACAAGATATTTTGCGGAAATGGTCTGAATTCGATTTTTGTTGAATAACAAGCAAATCATGAATGGGGGTAAAAATAAAACGGAAGATTCTGGATTGATATTTTTGGAGTTGGATGTTAAAGTTACTAATGGTTCCACACAGTTGTATGCCGTAAATCCCAATAAATTAGAGAATACTCTTGTGTGAAATGCATTTTATGCAATTAACCAACAGAGTCTTTTAATTTTCAAGTCAGTTTGCTTCAATACGATTTTTGTGTTTTAAATTTTAAATGTTTATGGATATAGGTGGATGGGGACATTATTGCAATTCAAAATTAATGACAGACGAAACCCTTACTCAACGTAAACTTAGCATGCATAGATTTTCCAGCATTTATTTTGATATTCCATTTGCTCAGCGAAAGCTGAATGAATGAATTTTGACTATTATATATGCTACACCACTTTCCAGTTATTCATGTAACAACTTTTCAAACCCAAAAGCTTATATTAGAAGTGGGCAAAATAGTTGTCTCTTTCGAACCATTTTCAATACAATTTGTTCTAAGGGCTAACATACCAAATATCATGAAAATATATCGAAACTTGCGATTAGTAGATTAAACGTAAGATAACAAAACGAAATCCGCCTGAGTGGCCGAGTAGGCAAGAGTCTCGACTAGCAACTCAATGGTCGTGGGTTCGAATCTCAAGTGCGGTAGAGTTTTTAATAAAGCCGAAAGCCTTAGATGCTAGTGCTTTAAGACTTTAGTCTTAGAATTTATTCTCTGGCTAAATTTCTAATAATAATAATAATAATAACAAAACGAAGAGAAGAACAGACAAGTTTGTATCGATATACTAAAAGATGAATCCACATTAAGTTCTTTTGGGTGTTGCAAACATCCGCAAAAACTTAATATACCCTTGTGTATAAGGTGGGGTAGATGTACAAAAAATTAAGCACTAGCGATTTAGGCTATCGGCTCTATTATAGAAACGCAATTTAGATATTGCTTGTAGTAGTTTTAGTATAGAAATATAATCGTTGGAGGGAAAGTTCTGTCGTATTTTAAATATGCAGATAATTTTTCTTGTAAATAAAAAAAACATCTAGCTTTATGTTTTTTTAGCTGCTGTATAATATAAAAGGAGTCTTTTAGTACCTTTCATCATTTGCTTTTCATATTTAAAGGGAAAAAAATGTCAGTAGATAAAGTGCATTTATCACACTGCATTTTGTATGAATTCCAAAAAAGAAGCAACGCATCGGTTGCATGTAAAAATTCATGCGCTGTATGTGGAAAAGATATTGTAAATGTTCGTACTTGTCAAAGAGGCTTTAGCAAATTTCCTTCCGAGAATCTGAGCTTCCAAGAAAGTGATCGATAATGATGTTTTGCGATCCATTAACAATTCGAGAAATTGCAGAAGAGTGAGGCATTCACCATACAACTGTTGGAGATCACATTACATCTCTTGGGTTTGTGTTAAAGCAAATTACATCAATAAAATACGACAGAAGTTTCCCTCCAACCTATTATTAAATAGATATTGCGTTCTGCACCTGATTTCAGGACATCCATAGGATTAATTGTTCCGATAAATTTCTTTAAGCATTTGTTTACATTGAAATTGGAACACTCGCAATAAATTCATATCAAAATTAAAGAATTTTGTTTCCTAAAGAGATAAGATCTTCTTGCAATTCGCCAAAACCGCTTCTATTATCTTCGCTAACATTCGATTCGGTTTTCGGGTTCAACTCATTGCTCCAACATATTTTAGCTTAGAAAAGAAAAAAGGCAAATAAATCGAATTGGTTTATTACCACCTTATGTAGTTTTGTTTCTCAAAAGAAATTTCTTAACATACGGAGTGAATTCCTTCTTGTAAAAATAATTTAATTTAAATTAATTCCGTTTATATCAAAGCTAATTTATTATGTTTTCGGTAGTAACGATTTTAAACATTAATAATAATATTAATAACTATAATGACAACAATAATAATAACAGTAATAATATTAACATTTGTTAGATTTGTTATATCTAGCGTAGTTATGACACTATAACTCCGTTCCTTCTCAAGCGGCACCGCTAAATTGCTCTAAACTTACTGTGGATAACAGCTATATAGACAAATGAGCTGACAGCACATATGTCGTTACACATAAAGTGGCGAATTTTTTTGTCTGAGGACGTGAGGACCTTGATTCCCGTTAATAACGGAAGCGAATGTTCTTAACTGCAAATTTTATACGCTTATTCTCTAAAGGCAGGAAATTTTATACAAATACATGCAAAATTATCGAGAATTGTAAACAAACGTATTCAAACATATTCTCAGATGGTTGGCATTTTTATACAAATTATTGAGAATATATATGCTTATTCTCGCATGTTTCGAATTTCTATACAATTTACTGAGAACATATGTGCTTATTCTCGCCTGGTTGGCATTTTTATACATGCGACAGCTGTTCATAAACAAAATATAAAAAAGCTGATTGGGATTTTTTATTATTGCTTTAATCATCAACTATATAAATTATTTTAGTTTAGTCCAATTTATTAATAATTATTAATGATAATTCAATTATACATATCATCTACACAATACTACAATTAATATAAATATGTTAGCCAATCCCTAATAGCCATAAAGCGGATTAAAACTCCCCCATTTAGGGGGCCAGCTGTGTGCAGTATATTATAAGTTACTACAACCAAGCACAAACGTGGTTAAGGGACAATACATACAACGACAACCACTAACCTAATTAACTGGCGCAGAAGCTACCAACGTGCTTATGGTTTTCAAGCATCTCAAACTTAATTTTCGTTAAAATTCGAATATAGGCGTGATTCGTATCCGATACGGTAGCCAATAGGTTATAAATTCGAATCTATGGCCATCTATAGAATCTATGATCAATTAGTGCGTGAAAGGGTCGAAACATTCACTGTAGAGAAAAATTTCTAACTGACAAAGTGTACAAAGTGTGATATTGAATTGGGAGTTGGCATAAGTATACTGTAGGCTTACTTAAAATGTTAGTGTGAAAAAATCACGTGAAGTTCACAATAAAACTGCAGCAAATTGCTACATCATATGGCGCATCATTTTAAATAAAACGTTTAATGAGAAGTGGCCGAAAAGGTGGTCCAGTGTATCATGTTTTCATCCTTTCAGTCCTTTCAGTCCTTGGCACTCGTTGAAAGAAAGAAGAAGAATTACGCAACATTGCCCTCTCGTCGCCTGCTTGAGATGAAGACTGCAATAAACACGCTAGTACTTATTAAGCACAAATACAAATGGAAGGACAGACATATCCAGTGTAGTGATAGACATAAATAAATGAAAAAAGACCATTTTTGTTTTAATGTCTCCTTTTACACTAATATTAAATATACTTTATTCGTCTCATTGATTGATTTTAACATTATTTTTGAAATGATTTCTCTTTTTTTTTATTTCACTAAAAGTAATTCAACTAATAAACTACAAAAAACGCGTAAACACCTACATTTTGCATCTGTGGTCTTTCTTGTTGGTTTTGTTGATTTATTATTAGAGCTTGACAAAATTTGCATTATGCCTAATTGATCTTGACGGATTTCCTGAACCATTTATAACAAATCCAGTACATCCTGCGTAGCAGCTAAGCGGTGCCAAAGAACGTTCGGAAAACTTTCCAATTTGCTCGGCAATGCACCAGTTGTTCAATAGGAGGTGCCGAAGTTAAGATCTTTCCGCATAAAGGACACTTCTAATCTTTCAAATTGTTATCTCGCCCCTGAGCTGCATTCAAACTTTGACGATACGTAGGGAAACAAACAAACGTTTGTTTGCATTCCGCACAGGATATTTAGTTTAATGTCACGCTTTCTGATTTCACAATTCGCTTGAGATTTTCTTTTTCTTGTTTTTGCGCATCCGACCTCTGTATTTTCATATCAAAGTAAACCTTACAAAGTACAACGGCTGCAGCAGAATCATATATCCAGTTGCTACGATTTTTTTCCACCGCTTCTTCTCATTTAACAGCGATGCTGACGGCTGCTTTGTTACTTTTTCTCATTTAACAGAGATGCTGTCGGCTGCTTTTGTTTTTTCAATTTAACAGATGAGAGAGATTTTTTATTCGCCATTTTTCTTATTTATTAAAAGCAACTCTGTGCTCTCCGTTCACCACACAAAATACTTTTTTGAAAAACGGTGCAAACGAAAAGAAAAGAACTATTTCCAACAGAATTCGTGCTTGGATCAGCGTAATAAAATTCGAGCGAACCTCGAATTTTTTTACTTTAGAGACCAAGTGAAAGAGTTTTCTAGCTAACCCGGTATGTTTTGTATTTAACTTTTTAGTTTATTTCTGACCGCTCCAAATGTTAGAATGTAAATATTAGAAATAGTTACTGTCTTTTCTTATACATTGACATGGAAAATCACCAAGCAACAGCAATTAAACAAAAAAAAAAACACGTCTCCTTAAGATTCCAAATGAATTTAATTAAAATGAACAAAAAATATAAAGAAAAAAACAATCAGAAAATTCAGTTTAAATTGAACAAAAGTTCTCTTTCGAATATAATAATTCTAGTATTGTGTGAGGCTATAAATTTTTCCAGCGACATAGACATGTTTTATTTGTTTTTTGAGAAAGATTGCTTTTGTTCGAGCTAATATTTGTTTTCTAAAAAAAAAAAATTCTCCATAACCTATATTCGGGGTGCTTTTGTTTACGTCAAAATCTTTAAGCAGAAATTTTATTGTGCAGTTTCTGAATTGTAAATTATGAAATCTTATTATACAGCCCACATCACTGAAATGTAGTGCAAATTACGATATCACCGCTTTCGGTATATTCCGTCTATTTTTAGGCTTACGAGGCTTATATAAAATGGTGATTAAAATTCTCCTTAAATTTCAATTAGAAAACCAATCGATAAGCGATTTCGCTACAAATAGAATATATATTAAATAGATATATTTGGAAATATTTTTAATTATAGACATACCAGCCTAGGCAAATTGCTATCCTCTAATCATACATCATACTTATAAGGTATTTTTCGGGTTAACGCAATTTTTATACGCTTACGCTCAGGTAGACGCAATTTTTATACTCTTGCTCTCAAACGGACGCAATTTTTATACATGCGACAGATGTTAATAAACAAACACATTTTCAATTTTTGAGAAGTGTAAACAAACATATACGCTTACTCTCATATAGACGCAATTTTTATACGCTTACTCTCAGATGGACGCAATTTTTGTACGCTTACTCTCAAACGGGCGCAATTTTTATACGCTTACGCTCAGATGGACGCAACTTTTATAAATGGAATAGCGCAATATATTCGTGAGCAGCTAAGATGCCAAGCATGCTTAGGCGACCTAACGCTGACACGCATACACTTGGCAATCATGAAATTTCACATGGTCGAGCCCAACATCGACAAACGCACCTAGGCGACGATAGTGAAGCAGCTTGCCTTCTTCAAGCAAACAGGGTCTTGTCCCAATGGAAGAAGTCACCGCACTAATCGCCTAGGCTTCATGATACATTTGTTACTGACTGGTAAAAACTGGGTGCAAGAAACTGTAACAAATGTATCATCATTTTAAGGAGAAGTCATGCTTTAAATACAGCAAAATGAAGGTAAAAGTAATATTATATAAATATATTTTCAATTTACTAATTTTTCGTCTATTTCAGAATACAAAAGGTTCACCATACGAAGAAGTACATTGAGAAGTCGTGCTTTAAGTACAGCAAAGTAAAGGTAATCGAAACAGTGTATAAATATATTTAGAAGTCGCTTATTTGTAACTTATGTTCAAATTTTTATATTTAGCTTAAAGAAGTCCGTAAAATCAAGTCAATGGAAAATCGGGCTTGGAGAACCACAAGTAAAAGGTAAATCAAATATAATTGAAATATGTTAATATATTTGTAACTTATGTTCAAATTTCTATATTTAGATTACAGAAGTTCGTCCGCAAAATCAAGTCCAACTCTCCGCTTATCGCCTCATATGGATGAAGATTCGCCGCCTGCCAAAGGTAAGTTTGCATTTATCCTCTCTTATTATTATGTATAAATTACTCATTTAGTTGTATTTCATTTTAGATTAAAAAAAACCATACACCTCTACTCATCGTTTCAGCATAATGGGATACTTCCGTAGGCCAATGGTAAGTTGTGGTCATCTTTATATACAAATTTTATTAATCACAATATTTTTCTCTTGCAGTTGTCCGCACACCGGCATAGCAGAAATTTTTATTTATTTATATGTATGTTATATATCATTAGCGGGGCTTTTTATTGATTACGTATTTTTACGTATTATTACGTATTACTATCTATTATTATTATTATTATTTTTGTAAATACTATTGCAATTTCTAATTAATTCTATAATGGTGTAGACCTACTGGGGAGCCAGCCATTTAAAACAATTGGCAACGTGCCTATCACGGTACCCCAAGGGTGGTGCGGAAAATCGTAAAAACTAGGCTCCGCACATTCTCGTATTTGCGGTTTTGCGGAAGAAGCCTTCGATCTAGCTCAACGCCGTAACAAATTAGAACTTCACGGCGAGCTACTAGAACGTTACCAAAACTTTATTTCTCGGATCTGGCATTTTATTAAGATATGCTGGAGTCTCATTAGCAAAATCATCGCAAGTCGGACAATAGATTTCCGATATTTCTGGCGCATTTACGTCACTACGCAAAACCCAACCTCTTGTGCATTTTTTCCCCGTTTTGATACAGTTACCAGCCCAGCCGGTCGTTTTATTTGTTGTTTTTTTAGGTGTCGCTGGGGAATTTTTAGGTACGCTTGTCACTTCAACATTGGCATCTAAAGCGTCTGCAACTACTTCAATTGTTTGATTGTTTCCACACCGACAGCGGTGTTCTCTTTTGAGTTATCCTCACCTTCACTTTCAGACCTGATCGTACTCTTCCAGTTAGAGTGATTATGGAGTTGTTCCTTTGATGCCGAGAAAGCAGGAAGTAGATCTACAAGTAAATACAGATCATTTACTTTTTTTCTCTTTTTGATATTGAGCGCTTAACATTTTCCAGTTAATTGCGAAATCAAAAGAGCAAAGAAATAGTGTATAAAACATAATAAAATACATCTAAAGTGAATGATAATGAAACGGCATTGGATATGTGGGCTCTGGGTTGCATTCTAGGAGAATTATTATCGCATAAGCCCTTATTGCCCGGCAACATAGAAATAGCTCAGCTTTAACTGATTGTTGGCCTATTAGGAACTCGTTCAAAAGCCAGATTTTCCAAGATGCCAGCCATACAAAATTTCGCTCTTAAACAACAGCTCTATAACAATCTAAAACCAAAGTTTCAATATCTGTCAGCGGCAGGTTTAAGACTTTTAAATTTTCTCTTTATGTTACAGAGGGCACGGCCATCTTGGAATTGCCATTAACCAAAATACCCATTAAAACGGAAAAGCAGGCTTTGAAAACTCTCAATATATGTTCTAAAAAGCTGAAGAGGAAATCTGCAAGGTACAAGCAAAAAAATCTTTCACCGAAGAACGTTATGAGAATGCTTTGGAATAGGCGATAAGATCTAGGGATACTTTGTATGTTGCTTCTATCGCCGACTACCTACTAAAGGAACATTTTTACGTCCGTCATGGGTTTTCTTCGCAAAATGCGTTTCGTGTTACAATTGAAGGCTAAATGCGTTAAGAACTGAATTAATCAGCGAGGTAGGTGTGTCGTACTATGTCGGGCGACTCGAATCCTAAATATATATATGTATGTATATATATCTATATACATATCGACGAGTAGATCTGTGCTCTCTTTAATAACTGTGAATACTTTTAAACTGAATGTAACAATTACCCTTAAACTAAAGTTAAATTGAAACAAAGTAAGTTATAATTAAATATTATCCGTTATATATTTTGCATGTTCTAAAAATAATATTAAAAGTAAGATTTGTGAAATTTGTACAACTTGAATGAATTGATGACTTAAAAAACATCAGGAGAACTTAAAAGGAAAGTATTGCAACTTAGTTAAGCATGTACCTTCGATAAATAAAAATTTAATATAAGTTAGTCTAAAAATTAAAATAAATTAATTTTAAACGAGCAGCCTCATACAATTCTACTTATATTATAGCTATGTGGTCTGTGGAATTGTTAGAGTTTGTTTCGATAAATGTCTGGAGTGAATATGCTTTTGGCAAAATACCAAAAACGTGGACTCATCCAAAGACCATTGTGCTTCTTTAGCACATGGAAGATGCGCTAATAATTTGCAGTCACGTTGTAAACAGCAAACCATACCACCAGGCTTAAAGCATAAACTGCATGGCGCTCGTGTGCTACGGAATTGCATACAGAATTTGCGATTCCAACAACCTTTGAACTTACACGAAATATATCGGGAGCCCATACGCCGCAATCTTCGTGCAGCCATACTTCATAATTTCCGTCCGATATTTTACACATTCCTAATAGAAAATCAGAGCAACTGGATTCTGTATTGCAATTCACCATGGCTCCTAATCCTGTTCCATTATCATTTTTTAAACAAAATTCATTTGTATGACATTTTCTTCGCTTGTTTATCTGGAAAGAAAGCAGTAAATTAGATTTGAAAAAATTTGGTTATTTCACTTTGTAGTCTTACCATTTCAGCGGCCGGGCAGAAATTATCACTCCTTCTCGAGGCAGTCGCAAGAAAGTTTCAAGTATTCAAATGCATTCCCTCCGTACGCGAACGTTTGTAAACAAAGGTTTCCTTTGAATCTATTTTATTAGATATTGACTTAACAATGTTTAGGTATTCTTCGCAATTTATGGACGCAACATATGGGCCGAACAAGTCGCCCAGACCAATCTTGTGCGGACCACGTTTGCAAAATACACAAAACCATGACGAGTCGGTAGTATCCGCGTCGTATTTATTACTTAACGTTGACGAATGCAAACCACGTACATTTTTTCGTCCTTGAATGAATGCACTGGTCTTCTTAATTTTCGTATTCTTTTCACTGACATCTTCGGTAAAAGTTGTACTAACTACGCTAATGCTGCCGTCTTTTTTGAAAGAATAAACGGTGATCGGTGTTTAATGTCATCATCAAGCGATGTCTTTAATATTATATCGTTTGGTATGGCATAATCATCATGACCTGGAAGAGAATTTCGCAATTGACGTGGCCGTATTTTTGCTGGCTCTTGAGTTTTTTGTTTATTATCGCATGGACTTGATTTTGTTGCTTTAAATGCTTTTGTATTAGCCTTAGAAATTGCCTTCAATTTGTGTTTGGCGGACCTTTGCCGACCGGTAGTCTTTGCATTCCTTTTCTTTATGCGTTTGTTACTGCGACTATGAATTTTATTTAATTCCGTGGACACCGAGGTGCTCGAAGAATCATCAAGAGAACTTGCTTTGTCATCTAAGCATAATTTACTCTTATCGTTGGTAACAACAATTGCCTCGCTGGTGCCACGTATTTAAGAGCACAATTATTAAAGTTTTTTCCTGAAAAATTGCGTAAGTCTTCATCTAAGACAGCGTACAAAGTTGTTTTGAAACAACTTGACTTATCCAAAAACTCAATACAATAGGATCGTTGCAATGCATCCTCAAATTGACAGGATTGTTGCAGCACAATAGTTAAGTTCCTGGCACGGTTTTCCACGCCACCCTGGAGGCACCGAGATAGGCGCGTTGCCAATTGTTTTAATTGGCTGGCTCCCCAGTAGGCCTACAACCTTAATTAAAAATTACAACAGTATTTACAATAATAATAATACATAATAATACATAACAATACAAAATAATACGTAATAAATAAAAGCCCCGCTAAATATACATAATGATACATAACATACATACATAATCCATAAAAAAACATATAAATAAATAAAAATTGCTGCTATGCCGGTGTGCTGACATCTGCAAAAGAAAGATATTGTGATTAATAAATTTTATATATAGAGATGACAACAAACTTACCTTTTGGCCTACGGAAGTATCGCATTTTGCTGAAACGATGAGTGGAGGTGTATGCTTGCTTTTTAAACTAAAATGAAATATAAGTAAGTAAATAAATTATAAATAAGAATAAGTAAGGATAATTGCAAACTTACCTTTGGCATGCAGCGAATCTTACATTACGATGAGGCGATGAGCGAAGAGTTGGACTTAATTTTGCGGGCGGCCTTCTTTAATCGAAACTAAAAAATTTGAATGTAAATTACAAACATACTAATATATTTCTATTATATTTGATTTACCGTTTATTTGTGGTTCTCCAAGCTCTATTCTGCATCCCATTTCGCTGAGCGATTTGTGGGCGCACCTTTCCTATCCTCAAATAGAAAACAAAAAATAAGCAATTAATAAGAATTCATATAAAATTTTAATTACCTTTACTTTGCTACGTTTTCCGCCCGATGTTCCTTCAAAACGAAAACACATTTGTGACAGTTTCCTGAACCCAGTTTATCCCAGTTAACAATAAATGCATTACGAAGGCTAGCAGATTTGTTCTGTGCGTCACTCCGTTATTGCAGGAGCCAGATTCCCTGCAGAAGGCAACCCGTGCGCCTGCAGGCGCATGCCTATGTTTTCTTCTACTATATGGTTCATCATCACGAACTTGTATATGTCGCAGGCGTCACGAAATGCGTCGTATACTTCAGGCTTTGCAAATTCAGGTTTAAGATATTGGTGAGGTTCGCTGGCCAAGTCTCTTGGATCACTTGCATTTTCTATTCTTTTATTGAGGTCTTCTAAACATTCTTGACAACGCAGCTGCTCGCGTATGTACTGGCCTAGTGCGTAGCCCGTGAGTAGCGAGATGTAGTCCTCCTCTTTTCTAGTTATTTGTCCGGTGACTACATCGTCGAATATCACACCATCTAGGCCAAATGGTAGAAAATCTTCTTCGGCCTGATCTTCCGTCGTGTAGTCCATCAAGTTTACAAGATGGTAAACGTCTGTGGTCCGCTGCCCCAAAAATTTTTTTGAAGTTTAATTAGACGTTTGATAAGCCTCATTACGTTTATCACTGATCTGGTTCGTTTTTGGGGAGTTGGCGTCATATTACAGAAGAAACATCCCAGTATGGTTTGGCTTACCCTGTAGGACTGAATAGTTTCGCAGGGTAAGCCTCCAGCAGCCCATCCATTAATTCCATATATCTTTTGATTGTTTGCACGGTGTCGCTCGCTAGACGAGCCGCCTCAAGGGTGGTATTAAGGTGTTTTTTAACTGTTTCTAGCTCTGCTTTTTGGTCCTGCCAATTGGTGCTGTTGATTTTGCCGTCATGGAAAACTGAGTTTAATTTTGTCATGGCGGCATAGAATTCGTACGTCCGAACTTCTATTTCACTACCGATTATTCCTCGCTCTAATGCTATTTCCAGCATTGCTGGCAGAGCTGATGTAAAAAATTGGGCTGATTCGCCTATAGTTCTGACTGAGGTAATTAGCAAGCTGGCGCCTCTCTTCTTCCAGTGTTCCCTGATGCGCGAGTTTTTCGCAGCCACTTTCGTGACAATCTTGGCGTCGTATCATTGGTTTAAATCAACCGTTTTCTTCCAGAATGCCTTTAAGAGATGTTAATAGTCATACATTTGTGCCACTATATACTTGCTGCCATCCGCACGTTGCCTATAAAATACGCTGCTTACGGAATTCTTTAAGGTCTTGCGATTTTGGGAGTTCCTATTGGAGACCACCGCTCTCACATCCAGCCCGATCTCCTCTGCGAATCTTAAGTTTTGCATTAATAGTATTGCATCCCCTCTTTAGCGGGTGATGGGATATGCGCTGAATATTATGTTGAATGGCGTCAACAAGCTCCATACTTCCAATACGAGTATCATTTGGTACTCCGTCTGCGGTATTTTATCGAGTAACATGTACCCGCATCCATAAAGCCTGTCCTCGTATGTACAGTATGCTGATCTGTAGTCGGTGAACACTTCATCGAAGTGTAATTGTACGATCTTGTCGCGAGGAGTCGATTTCCTCACAACCTCTCGCAGAGGCTCAATGTCCGGCACCACTCTCTCAGCTTTTTCTACTTCCTGGCCGTCTGGTTCAAGGCATCGATCCTTCCTCCTCCCTGCTGCTACCGCCAATGTTGACGGTCCCTCGTCATCTATTACATTATAATTTAAATTTATAATATTGGGGCTTTCTATGCTAAATTTGCTGTCCGTCTGTCCATCCGTTTGTTTCCCTGCAACTTTTTTTGGTGAAACTATGCTGTCTGTGTCGGTAAACCCTAAAAACTCTTCGTACTCTGTGCTCATCTGTTCTTCTTCTTCTACCGGTACTCCTCCACAACCTATTATTTCTACCGGTACTTCTTCAAAATCTATGTCCTGCTGTCCTATGTCCATCTATTCTTCTCCAAAATCGATGTCCTCTCTCCATCTGTGGTTCTCCAAAATCTATTTTACCGATACTTCCCCGTGCACTACCATTTGCTTGGTAAGTCTAGCAACAAGATGTTGCAACCCTAATTTATGCGCGTACCACACATACGGCGCCATAGCATTGTACCTTTTCGTCTCCGAGGTCTCCAGCCGTTTTAGAAAAATTTTGACAAATCTCAATTTCGTTTTAACGTCTTCTACTCTTATAAGTCTACCTGTTTTTTTTGTCAGTGCCTTAGCTAACCTACTACCATCTTCATTCCAGGAAACATATCCTTTTCCCACACCCCACAATTCTGGATAACTTTTCAAAGGTCACTAAATAATGCGTCCGGTATGAACACCATATTGATATAAAAGATATAAGATAAATGTTTTGGGGTAATAATAAT